TCCTGCTGTTAGTTTTGGAAACTACTCTACTCTGGATGAATGCAGTCACAAATATTATCCTGCCATGTTGCTGGATTAATCTGTGCTTATGTTGTCTGCAAGTATAGTGAGATGAGAGCTGGTCACTGAGGCAAAGAAAGTAGGCAAAATGGAAGAGTAATGTTTTGTGTGTATGCATAGTCGTAGGATTTGAGTATATGGGAAGCCTGTAGGAGAAAAAATGTTTGCATTTATCATGACTGTAGCTCCAAACTATGGACTGAATGAGTGAAGCAGACAGGTAAGAGTCAACCAGACCTTTTGTCAACCCAGCCAAATTTTCACCTTGAATCTGAGCTCCCATAGAAGCTAAAGGGATATATATTCTTCCAGTAAAATGCTCATTATCCTCTTCTGACCCTTTTAGCTTTCTCAGTGCTGTTTTCTCGAAAGCCCAGTGAGCTATTTATCGTACCAGAGTCAAGGAAATTCCTTTCAGTGTAGACTAACAAACACCTTAAAAAAAAAACTATTAATTTAAATTCCAGGTTTTAACACTTTAAAAAAATTGTTGTATTACATATACAGATGTCCAGATAATTCTGGAAATCTGAATTTAGAGTTATTTGTTTATATGTCCTACTTTTAAGTTACCTTTTCTTGGTTCTGTGTATTAAACCCTCAGAATTTACTGTTGCAAAGACTGTAGTCTTACACACTGCTTAAACTGATAATGCTTCTGCAAGCTTGGTCTCACTGCTGCTCCCAGGTGTATGTTTCTGTGCAATCTGTGTATCAGCATTAGCAAACATGTGGCTAGTCAATGACCTGCATTAAAAACCTGTTATTTTATTTGTGGGTTCATAGTTGCTGACACAAGGAAGGCAAAAGTAATGTGTATGTAGGACCAGAATAAGCCAGAAGTACAATCTTTAGATGAGAATTATTTGGCAGTGAGTGACTGACACAACAATAATGTTGGCCTTTGGTGTTTCAAACTTTCTAGGTATTTCTGCCTTCAAAAGCATCTTTGGGTGTCTCTGGCTGTTTAAACCACATAAGAATGTTGGTTTGGTTTTGTTTAGGTTTTTGCTTGGATCGTAACTTAGAGTGCATTCTCCTTCCCATCTTTTTTTCTACAGCATTTCATGAAGTTTCAGTTTACCCCAAGAAGGAGCTTCCCTTCTTCATCCTCTTCACCGCTGGACTATGTTCTTTCACAGCTATGCTAGCCCTCCTGACGCATCAGTTCCCAGAGCTTATGGGGGTCTTCGCAAAAGCTGTGAGTATTCTCTGCTGCTGCTCTCTTCTGGTAAATAAAGACACAGATGCAGGAAGAGCTGAGCTGAATAGTGCTGGTTATTAAATACCTGCATATTCAGTAGTACAAATAAAACATCGAGAGATGTCTAAGCAGGGGGACATTTGAACAATTGTTAAGGGAGCTAATCAGTAAAATACACTACTGTCTGTCTTCTCTGGTTTATATGGCTCTTTTGTTAGGGCAGATCCCTTGTGATTTTGCCAAAAAAGACTTGGTGAGGGAAGGGAATTCCCTTGAGAAGGGAATATCTGTATTTTCATACATAATCCAATAAAATAAATAATAATGGTTTGCAGAACCCCTTTTATTTTGTGTAGAGCCATAATGACTGTGCCGTGCTTTCCAGTGCAATAGGAACTCTTAGTATGAACACAAAGAGAGTATACTGTTAACCAGGACAAATTTCTGTGTTCTTTCCCCACAAGGCCATGAAAGAAGTAGTCTCAATATTTCCCTCATAACTTTTCTTAATTACATCCAGGGAAGCCTCTGCCAATTCTTCTTTTTTAGTCCACGAAAGAGTAATAAATGTTGGAGGATGAAGGGGAGGTGTCATGAATTACGCTGAAACATTTTTTTTTCTTTGCAAAACCAAGAACATCACTGCTCCAGTGTGCTAGGGAATGAAAAATCCACTTGCAGAAAAGTTCTAGGATAATAAAAACTCCTGTCTGCTTCTCCAAGAAATACTGAATATGCTCTGTTGTAATATATTATCTCAAATATATTCATGTCTCTTGTAGATCTTGTGTTTACAAAATAGCTTCTTGGGTATTTAAAGTCTTTTGGTTTGGGAAGCATAGGAAACAGGGTGCAGGAGGCAAGGCTGAAAGGATTCGCCAAATTCCAGATTGTATTTTCTCAAAATCCTTTGCAAATGGCAAGAGACAACCTAGTGAACTAGGTCTTCTACCACACAGACTTGTGAGCAATAAAGGTCTGGCACAGCAACAAGTTCTCACGTCAAGCGTTTTCTTTCATTAACTCTAAAAGGCAGGAAATAAGTTTAGATACCACCAACCAAAAGATACCACTTCTATCAGCAAAAAATGCTGAAATGTATCTGAAATATTACTACTTTCTCTTGTTTTAGTGTATATTGTAGGTGTTTTGGGGACAGTAAGTGTAACTCAGGCATATGATCTTAAACTTATTCCTAAAGCTTTTTTAATGTTTTTTTTCCTGAAGTTGTTGAAATACATGACCCTTGTTTGAGGGCTCTTTCAGTGTACTCTGCAGTTCTCTGATACTGGCCCCAAATCTGTCCCTGTTAGCCTTGTTCATGTGCTTGTCAGCCTCGTATCCTGAACAAAGAATATATCTCAAGCTGGCAGCATGATGAGAAATTGTACTTGGTGCTCCTGCTACAGGCAGTGAGCTACTGGAATTTGATAAAATCAGTAGCATGTTTTCATGGGCTTAACTCACCTGGCTTTGGTTGCTGAGTGCAGTCAGAGATATCAGAAGCTGGACTGCTGGTGCATTAGTAGTTGTCTCTGTGTGATTTGGAACTTGCAGGTTCCAAAGCCATTTGGGGAGTAGAGTCAGACCAGAAGGATCTGTTTCCCTGCTGTGTCAGTGCAGTTGCCATTGGTGTTAATTAGAACAGATACCTCAGGATGCTGTGCATGGTTATTAAGTTCTGCATATTGGAGCAGGTGAAGCTCCTAGTTAGTAAAATAAGCGCAGACAAATATAGTTGAAATGTGGGCTGCGTTGAGTGCATAAAGTTGGCAAGGTTACGCAAGATCTCTGAACCTGTATGGATGCAGTTAGCATGTCAGTTAACAGGTATTATGACTTGTTTTAGCTGTATCTTAATCCTCATAAATGGAGCTCCACTAAATGGAGCAGCTGAGTTTCTGTTGTACACAGGAAGGACAGAATTTAAGCCTGTGACATTCATTTAGTATGTCATAGACCAACTTTGCTTCAGAAGGCTCATTTTGTTGACTTTTCTGGGAAAAATGGCCCAGGTGTATGAGATGGAAGAAAATCATGGCAGACATCTCTTTGAAGTGCAGCTGTATCAGAACAGAAGAGGAGAGGTCAGCCAGTCCCTTTCAGTTTTAGGGAAGATAATTTAATAAATAACTAGTTTCCTAAATAGCTAAAAGATGAATGTGCTGACTGTTGCTGTGGTTATGTGCATTGGATTACCTATGCTGGTATGGTTGGTGGTCATTGTGATGTGGTAGATTACATTGTGAAACTGTGCACATATGCTTTAATTTTAATAGGTAAAAATTATTCCTTCTTTTATGCCTGCCAATCCCAAAAGCATTGCACAGATGTAATATCGCCATCATGGCCCAGGGTTATGTTACTGCAAGTTGATACTTAACATACTTCACAAAACCTGAGTGGGTTAGCATGATCGGGATTTGGGAACTGCCTTTGACCTGACCTCCAGGTGACTTCTTGACCCTTTTCCATAGCCCATTAACCCAGACACTGGGTTCTTCAAAGCAGAAAAAGCCCTTGAGTGCTGAGGACCTCCTCCATGTGAGGCACTGCCAAAGATGGCCTGTGACAGTCCCTTACGGCCCTGTGTTCCTCCACTGGATGCAGCAGCCAAAGGCATTTCAAGACAACAATCATGTCTAAAAGTGTAGTGACTAGTTAAATTTTTGAAATGAGTGAAACTTAAGAAAGTAATTTTTCTCTGATTTGATTCCTTTGTTTGTCTGAGATCACTGATGTTATCTGTTTCAGTATTTCACATATGGTAGATGAGACCTCAGTTCAGAAAGCAGGTTTGCCCAGAGAGATATTTCATCTGCTTGGATCTCTACAGGTACTGAGGCAGGGAACACGTAGATCCAATCTGAGCAATAAATAGTCAGTTCCTCTGTGCAAACACCAACCAACATGGTGGCAAAAGGAAAGAAAAAAAAACCCATACCATGCAGACTGAACCCTCCTGAGTGCTGCTGTGTGGCAAACAAGCTGCCAGTGGTGTCTGAGGACAGGAACACCAGGAGATTTCCAAGTGCTGGACAGCCCCAGCACAGATGTTGTTTACATGGGCTTGTAGAAGAGAGTAGGTGCCATCCTGAACCTCTTGCTGTCAGCAAACATTTTGATTGGACTTCAGTGAAGCCAGGCTTTGGTATCCATGAATTTAAATGTATTTTGTACACCAACTAATTTTCCAAGTGAAGAAAAACTCGGCTTGTTTTAAGCCACAGAAACTTTGCTGAGTTTGTTACAGGATACAGTCAACTGTTTCAGCAACAAAATTCCTATGAATTGCAATAAAACTTACTGTCAAGCAACTTACTCTTGTTTTATTAATTTAACAAGTATGTAATTTGCACTGGTTACAAAACTGAGTTGTATCCAAGTAGATGTGATGGTGCAAGCTTACCACACAGATAAAGTGCTACTAGAAGAGTAGAAAATATCCTCTAGTGAGCTTTTTGCATTTGGCAAAATTAAAAGGACGTATTTATTTAAACTGTTCACAGCTTAACCAGAGGGAATGCTTCTACTTGGGCTAAGCCACTTGAAATAGTAATGACAAACTCTGAGATTTGGTAAGTCAGTGTTATATTAATTCAGCTACAATTCATGTTACACAGCTTGACCTTTAGCACTACAACTCAAATACTCTTGTTCAGCTTCAGTTAGAAGATTTTTCTTCAACCTGTGCTTATGACAAAACCTCATTACCAGTGACAGTGTTACCCGGTTTTACTCTGATGCACAAGTTGTCCATCATGTAGTGGCTGTATTCTATGCAAACATGTCCAAGAGGTAAAAAGAATTTGAATGCTTACTATTGCCTTTAAAATGCATACACATCGTCAACATCATATGTTTTCACAGTTAAATTCTGCAGAGAGCCCATTTTGGTGAACGGTGAAACTGTTTGCAGATGTTTTCTTGCTTCATACCTTGAAATGGTTATAATCTCTGGCTGTTGGATATTGCAGTTTTGAAACATTTTAAATACATTCGACATACATGCCTGTGTTTCAGAAGCACAAAGACCTGTAACAATTTTTGAATTTTTCATACTTCAGATACTTCAAAGGCGAAGTTAGAGACCAAGGACATGTCTGTATTAAGTTGCTAGTCTGTGTTCTATGGCCCCAAAGGCAAGTGACACATCACGGTTCACGTCTGCACCTCTAACTTACCTTCGGAGGCAGGATGGCCCTGTCCTCGCTGGCTGCTGAGAACTGTCCCTTGCCCTGTGCTATCCCCAAACTCTGCCTGGTCTTTGTAGAAGAGAGACTAACTGGCATAGGCCAGAGCTGTGTCGGGAGCTGTGCTAGCAGCTGTGGAGTGTGCGGAGACAGGCCAGCACCCTGCACTGTGCAGCACTCCTCCTCGCTTTACAGGAGAAGACAAAGACCAACCACTTCGGCTCCATCTGCAGCTGGGGGCAGAGAGGAAAAAGACCATTTCAAAGGGCAGTTCTGGTCCTGACAAGGGTTTAGTTACTCTCTGGAAGTGCTTAGTTCTCTTCAGTGACTACAGAGGAACCAGACCCCCATGTCTGCATCCTTCATGTGTGTAAAGATAATATGGAACAAATTCAGACCATGAAAAGGGATGTAAGGGATTTAAAGTCTGATGCTCTCGTTTGTCAGGAGAAAGAGTTCTTCTGGGCAAAAAGAGAACACATGCAGCACTAGATTTTCTTTTACTAGACCTACCAAGCAGAGTTCATATACACATAGGTGCAGTAAGTGGAGTTTACATGTTTCGTGCTGACTGCAGAGCAGTAACTGAAACACAAACCTCTTGCAGCTCTTTGCCAATTAGTTCCAAAGAGAATTGTTTATTTTTAGCAAAGTCACATCAGCCTAAATGTTTAGAAGCCACAGGGTTCACAGTATCGAGGTGGCTGACTTTGTATGTTCCTATACTCTCTTGTACCTGTATAGGGCTCCAGCATAGCTGTATGTAATGTGTACAGCTGAATTGCAATTAATGTAAAGCACAATTAATATGCATTTCCCAAAATCCTGGGAGCACTTCGAGTACTGAGTTCTGAGATGTGTAGCTGGCAGTGTTTTTCCTGTGATAGGATGGTTCCTATTCACTTGATCTTTGTCACACATGCCTGTCCTAAGAATATATTGAAACCTCTTTCACCATTGCCAACTGTGTTCTGTCCTAGAGGGGGGATGTTAAAATAAATTCCAGTTAGTGATGCTGCGGTATATATAGCAGATCTATACGTAACCCTGAACCACTTGAAACCTGAATCTAAAGACACACTTTTTGTCTCTGAGAGGTGGTCTGGCAGACTCTGCCATTATGAAAAAGCTTCTCTTTTCCCTTCAGTAGGTTTTGGTTTGAGCTTTTATGGCTTCAGTATGAGCTTGACCCTAGGATATGAGATATGTGAAAACTTCTTTAGTTCATCATTTTGATCTTCATAAAAATGGGGCTCTTGCTTTCTTTGCTGCAAAATCCAGCTATCTGTATGTGTGCAAGGCTCAGAATTTGGCAGAAAGTCTTTCTACATGCATTGTATAATTTTTATCATGCTGGAGGAGTTTACAGAATAACACAGCAAGAATTTCTTGTCTTATTGGACAGCTCTCTCTTGAGGTGTATTGTCTCCTGGATTTTGATCTGACTGTTACCTGATTTCTTTGCAGTTCCTCAGCACCCTCTTTGCCCCTCTAAATTTTGTGATGGAAAAAGTAGAAAGTATCCTGCCCTCCAGCCTGTGGCACCAGCTGACGAGGATCTGAGGGAGCACGCCTGCTGACTGACTGCTATGGCATCTTCTGTGCCAACGTTTTGTCGACCACAAGAAAGCATGATAAAAAAGGGAAGCAGTTCTAAGACTTAAAAACTCTTCATGGATTGTCTGTTCTCATATAAAAACTGTTTTGTTGTACAAAATACATTGATGTTAGGTTCTATTATATTTTGCCTTCAGAAAAGAAAAACTTAAAAATAAACTTTTGTGTATTGCAGCATTGCTGTCTGTTGGCATCTTCTTCAAAGCTTGGATTGTACTTTGTGTTCTTAAAAAAACGTGTGGTGTATCTGCTTCACCACAGCTACAGCTTGGCTTTCCATTCAGTTAATGAAAAAACACTAATAACTTTACAATTAAGCAATGCTATCACTGCCTTTTCTTACAGAGTTCAACCAGGGTGAAGCCCTCACTGCTACAGGCAGTCTAGATGAGGCTTCTAGACAGTTAAAGCTCTTGCTGAAAGCAGCTTTAGGCTCCTCAGGCAGTTTGGATGGCACACTGGGCTTCTGACTCCCATCCCTGCACAGAGGTCAGTTTGAATTTTCAGAAAGTCCACATACTTGGCAGATTTTCCTCACACCACTGTTACTTCAGGTACCTCCAGAAGCTCCATGATTTGCTGTCTACAGAACAAAGCATAAGTAATGGCAGAGAACTAGAGACAAATCTACTTGTTGCGTGTGATCATTGCATTTGTGCTCTTATGTATTTACTGCTGAGTTTTTATCGCATTACTAGTATTTTTCAAGTATGAAAAAGCAAGTGCATCCTCCTGTACAGATTAAACGCCAGCATTATAAACTGTTGCTTGAGACCAGAAGCTCATTAGCAAACTTAGTGTTAGTTCATGCACAATTCATAGATAGGTCATCATTAATGGCTACCTCAGGAAATCTTATCCTTGTGCTGTGAGAGGTTTAGTGTAAGTATTCATTTATAACTTAACCCACCGGAGATGGAAACGTCCCACAGACACTTTTGCTAATGCACAAGGCCAATTCTAAGATCAAGAATTTGATCTGGAAGTTAAAGCAAGTAGTCCTATCTGCCATGAATTGAAAGTGCACCTTACGGACGCCACAAGGATTTTTTTCCACTCCTCTCCCAGATAAGGAAGCATAAACCCAGTGCAGCAGATCAAAAATGCCCCTTTAACTTTGCTAGACTTAGAAGAACTTAGCTGTTCTTCTAACTAGGCGGACCAGCTTGAGGGACTGTCATCACCAGGAGATGTTTGGTTTTCAATGAGGAAATGTGTGAGCAAAGACAAAACTCCCATTACAGAGTTGGTATAAACAGAAAGTGTTTCTTCACAAGAGGAGGTGCATTACATTACTTTTTGCCCTCTTGATCACAGATACACTACTCTACATTGAAAAAAAAATTTTTCCAAGTGAGCACTAGTAGTACATTAAAGCATGACTGCTATGCTGTGAGGAAACAAGGCAGCCCCCCACCAGGAGAAGTCAGTGGTAAGAGCGAGACCTGATTGAGGACATTGAAGATCAGAGAGCCCTGCAGCTGAATGTTAAAACCAGTGAGGTACGTCACTATTGGGGGTTTCCATACAGGTTTTTCATCTCTGGCCATTATTCCTAAAAACAAAAAATAAAAATCACTGTAATGTTGAAATTAGTACAGCTCACATTTAATGTGGGATGTGGTGTAAGATTAGAGGCAGTGGATTGCTAGTGGACAGCACATGGGAGTGTGGAATGGGCTGATACTTGTGTTCTTGGCCTTGAATCTGAATTGGTACAACAGGCACAGAGAACACCTATGCAGGAGGTACTCCTGTGTGTCTCCAGCTGTAGAACTAGGGAAAATCATGTCCATTGTTTTGCCTCAAAAAGGTGCTTTCAGAATTAAGGTTGGTGAAAATCAGAAAGTCAGGTCTTGTCATCCTGCACTGCTTTGTGTCACTTATTTCCCAGCCACCTAAAAACGTTTCCAAGTTCATTTATATGTATACCCTACATTTCAAAGAACAAATTGCTGTGATTAACAGTCCTGATACGGAAATGTGTTTGCATTACCAGTGTTTATCTAGCTATATACAAATGTCCATGTTTGTCAGCAACTAAGGTAGCAGTTTGGCCTTCTGTTAGAAGAACAGAAAATGCAAATTATGATCTGTGTGGAAATTACAATCTGTAATAATCTGATAAAAAGGAATGGTGAACTCCTGGAAGAATCAGATCTCTCCATTGAACTATGGGGAACTGTCAGGAAATCACAAATAGAATGGTTAGCGTTGGAAAAGACCTTAAGATCACCTAGTTCCAACCTCCCTGCCATTACCAGGGATGCCTCACACTAGACCATGTTGCCCAAGGCTCTGTCCATCCTGGCCTTGAACACTACCAGAGATAGAGCATTTACCACTTCTCTGGGCAACCTGTTCCAGTGCCTCACCACCCTCACTGTGAAGACCTTCTTCCTTATATCTAACCTGAACTTCCCCTGTTTGAGTTCAAACCCATTACCCCTTGTCCTATTGTACAGTCCTGATGAAGAGTCCACCTCCAGCATCCTTGTAGGCCCTTTTTAGGTATTAAAAGGCTGCTATGAGGTCTCCACACAGCCTTCTCTTCTCCAGGCTGAACAGTTCCAGTACTTCTATGCAATCCCATTTCTACTGTTTCCAGTATGCATCTCCCTTATAAGCAGTAATGAGCCATGGATTTAATCTAGAAAATACCTTTTTAGCTTTAATTATAATTCTAGGAATCTGGGAGACTAGAAAAGTCAGACAGAAGGATTTTCTTTTTCATCAAGCAGAGTTTATTGCCTTAGGCTTTTCTGCCCCTGACATGTTTCCTGTGAAGTTCAGCATAGCTTAGATCAAAAGGCAAGCACAGCCTGTGATTATAATGATGGAAAACCTCTGCCTCAGTGTGGAGATGAGCCTTCTGGAAATCTGGAATAGATAATAATACATCCGAATCTTCAGTCTGCAGATTTGAGGAGGGGAGGGGGAAGGCAAAGGAGGCTTTTTAACTCCAAATTTTAACAGTTCCTGGTTTTTTCTCTGAAGACAACCTAATACAATTTTGGACTCACACTATCTCTTTACACTGTAGCCTTCATGGAACAAAAGAAGAGAGGCTCCCAGGAGTGTCAGGTAGGTCAAGCTGGCCACCTTCTGGCCTCCCACTGGGTGAATTTACAGCTGCTCCAAGGTGAGAGCCACTCTGAGAGAGCTGAGTGCTACACCTGGGGGAACGCTGTTCATTCTTTGCTGTGATTTGGTGTGAACAGAGGGCTTGGAGAACTCAGCAACTGTAGTTAAGGCACAGTGGGCAAGGTAACCCCAGCCCCACATGTCACCCAGCTCCCCACAGGGCTCCTGCCTGTTCCTGCCACTGAGGGAGCAGAGAGGCACCCAGAACAATAAAGGGGAAGCAGTTGTACACAGATTCATGTGTGTTTGCTTCTTTCTCACAAGAGATCGTGCATTATGAAGTCACATACATTTAATGAGGCAAATGAGCTGTTGTACAAAAAAAACCCAGAACACAAACCCATGTTCAAAGCCCATGAACTGCTGCTGTTCATCAGATAATAATACAAGCGCATCTGTGTCATTCAAAATGGCAGGAGAAACTTGCAGGCTCTTACACGTGACCACAAAACCACCTCTGCCCTCAAAAGTGGCCAGGCCCTGCACACTGAGACTGTAACATTTCCTAAGTGTGCAAGATAAAATCCATGGAGATGAGCAAGCCTTAGTACGCTTCATGCTGCCGTACTGCATTAAGAGCTATTTTTTCCAGGCAAAAGCACCCTCTTCAGCCCCAGATCTTCACTAATCCCCAGTAAAACATTCATTTCCCCATTGCCACCGTACGCTAAGACCCAGCTGAGGCTGGGCTTGAAGCCTGTAGGCAGGGACCACCAGCTGCTTGCTCAGTGTAGGATGCTTTTTAGCTGATGTGCAGCACCGTACCAGAAATGCAGTGTTTTATTTCTAATTCAGATCTGCAGAGAAGGTTACACATGATGGGAGGTCTGGGTGAGAGGCACAAATTGCGTTTAGATAGTTTTGCAGGAAACAAAGCAACACAACAATCTCTCGATCTACAATACACACATGCCCTAACATACACCCCCATTCCTAAAAGTCATTCCCCATTTTCCATGCGGTAAAAGAAAATTCAATTTCTCCTAAAACAGCTCAACAGGCTTTTTAGGGTAAAGTTTTTTAAAGAAGAAAATAGTGGGGAGGGAGCAATCCCAGCAGCTTGGCAGGATAGCAGCATTTCAGAGCACTGCTAGATTCTGATTTCATGCAGCAAATTAAAGGGAACTCCCTCAAGAAAATTGGACTCCATATTTAAAACAAAAATAATCCTACAACCTTTTGCATCAGCTAATGTTTTTCTGACACTGAAGCGTCTACCTAGGGACAGCTGCTTCCTCTTCATGAGTAAGTACATGAGTATATTTATTCCATAGGATAAAATAAAGGATTATTTCATTTGCATTGCCTGATTTCTGTTTGTGGAGGGTTTTTCCCGTTTTTTCCTTTGTTTGGTTAGCAGAAGGTCAAGGAGGTACCTCTCCTAGCAATATTTATATCTCTCAGCATCTTTTCCCACTAAGAAATAGCAAAAGCTCTCCAAAGTACTTTTCTTGATGGAAGAAGCAGCAGAAATGTTGTAAAAAGTCTACCTTGAGCTCTGTAAAAACTAGATAAATAAATAAATACAGAAAGAAAAAAAAGTAATCAAATAATTGGCCAGCTCAACAGTTACACGTTTGTTGTGCTGCAAAATATCCTAGGTTTGCTCTGGTGAAGGGAGTTTGGTGGCAGCATTGCACTGCATCTTATGAATATGGCACTTGTGTGAAATACAGCATTCAGCCTGCTGTGTGCACCTTTTGAGGGCATGCAGCCAAATGGGGCAGGGGTCTGCTCAGGAAGGACACCAAAAAGGCCGAAGGACCCAATGCCACCATCTGCCTTGTCTTACTGGAAAGAGCAACCTTCAGGAACCACAGGCCCCTGTGACCAGGGCAACTTTTGGAGCAAGAAGATACACTTCGTGGAGGAGGAGGAACATGCTGGGAAATAGAAGTTCCGCCTTTAATACAATGACCACAAAACATTTTACCTGAGACTGCAGAATTCAGGTGGGTTTGTTTTCTGGTGTCTTGACCAAGAGATCTGATTTCATTACCTTTGATTCAACTGCCTAGAACAAGTTCC